ATCTTCCTTGCTGAAAAAAAAAATGGGGACCATGTACCTCTTTTTGCTGACCATTTGTCTCTCCAACAAAGCCTATTTTCTTTAACCTATCTCATAGAACATTGGGGTATTTACCTTTCCCCACCTTGTTGCCATTCAGTAAATGTTAACTACTCCTAGTTCTACTACTCTGGAGTTAGTTCCTCTTATAAAGGAAGCTGCAGAGGAGATGCAATAGTCTCAAGTACACCCACCCTGTTTATGAAGTCAGCCGTATAAAATTTCCTGCCTAAATGACAACAGATGTTCTCAGTCCGTTCTTGCTAGTTTCACCTGGGCTCTCTTCCAGGTGCTGGTATTATGAATAAAGTTCTCTAACAAAGTTTTTGAGCAAACTAAGAATGATCAGAGATAAAGTTTCAAGTTAATATCCTCCTAGTCTTTACATATGTGCAAATAATTTAGCTGTTTGTGAAGTTTTTAGGGATTCAAGGCACAAGCTTAGAAAATACACTTACAAGAAACCTCAGGAGCAAAAAAAAAAACATAGATATGGAAACTGGTTTTTGAAAATTTGATCTTCGGTGTTCTGAATTCTCATCCTTAAGCTAAATTTAAGATAGTTTTACTGACAAAGAGAGAAAAGGAAAATATTATGCTTTGAAGCAGAAGTATTATATGCCTGACTTTTTGCAGCTTTTATGATATAGTAAAGAACCGTAATGATTTTTTCATTTAAAAAAAAACAAACTGAGGGGCAAAAAGAGCATGCATCCAATAGCATGTCCCACTAACTTAAAGCAAAACCAAAATAACTCAATATACAGAAGCACAATAATGAAATTTCTTTTGAAAAATTCCATAAAAGAAAGAAGTCAAATCTACAGATCATCCAGAGAAAAACATATGTTTATAAACATATAAAAGATGGAATTCCTGCTTTCGAAGACTTTTATAGGCTAAAAACACAAGTGAGGAAAAATATTTTTGGAAAAAATTCTAAGCCATGAGATGTAGCAAATGCTTCATCAATAAGGAAGCTCTCATTTTCTACTTTCTAGTAAATTTTCAGATTTTCACACTGAGATAAGAAGGCTTTCATGCTCCAAGCCAATAAAGAAACATATTGCCTTAAATTTACTGTCCTCCTGCTTCTTAAATGTGCCCCATCTTCTGTAACAGCCCCTAAATGTTGGCCTTCTTGCCGCCTTTCACATTGCTATTTGTTGAAAACACAAAACGGATATTTCTGGGACTCCTTGACGAGGAATTGGTGATATGACCCTACACGTGAAAACCTTTAAGAGGTGAAAAACAGCTGAGCCTACAGTGGACTTTCACCTATATCTTTGTGCTTTGCCTATGGGACGGACTTCAAGATGCTCACATGTTCATTATTTGCATTAACTCTAGTTTGGTAAGTCTAGTGGACTTGGAAGTGGGAGGAGGTAGAGAACTAACAAAAGGAGCTAGCTATGAAACTGTTGAATAGATGGAGAATCAAGCAAATGGAAGAAATAAAATCTCCCACAGTTAATGTTGAGTGAACCAGAGACGTTTTTTCAATGCATAGCTTAGATTTAAATTTGCTTTTCAACAGCTTTTTAAAAAGCAGGTATAGCCCATACTCCTAACAGACAGTAGAGATGGTTCAGTCACGCCTGACCTAGCATTTTTCTTGTCTTTGAGCTGTAGCCCTGCTCCACTGACCTTGTTGTGCCCTGAGATTAGTTTGCCCCTAACTGGAGCTGGAAACATGCACAACTCCAGGGGGCGCTGTTCACACACACTACAGTGTGAAGGGTGCAATGTGAAAGCCACCCCTGGAGCTGTGCCACACTGACGTGTTCCTGCTAAAGGGATGCTCAGGCCACTGTGCTGCTGTGGCTCTCATCTGGGCCAAAGACATTCTACATTTAATTGCTAGAGCCTGTAATGAGCGGTGAAAAAACGGATATGGAGATAACATTTATGAATGACCATCATTTACGTAATAAACCATAGGCTGAGATGAGAAGTTTAATTTACTAATCCTTCAAAACCTACAAGACTCTTTGGGTCTCAACCCCACCCCACTCTTCTTTTGTCTCATTCTTCTCTGAGTTTGCATATCTCTTCTCCTCTCCCCAAACCCTGTGCATCTCTCTCCATTTGTACCTTTCATTCTCAGTATGTCTCTCCCCTTATATCTTCTCCCTTTCCTTTTGGTCTCTTTCATCTTTTTTTCTGCTTATAACTTTCATTTCTCCAATCTGCTATTCTAAGCATTCCCTATATGTCTCACTTTCTCTATCTTTCTCTTTTCTTTCTGTGTCCCCAGGCACCATTCATCTCCATCTGCCTTTTACCTTCTGTTTACTCTTTCTCTTGCTGTTTCTTTAATCTTTTGTCTATATCTTTTTTCTTCTATTTTTCTAGTTTCTTTCTTACTATCTTTTCCTTTAACTGACCATGATGAGAAACCAAAGTGTGCTTGTTCAGTGTCTTCTCTGTGGTCTCAGTTTAATTTTTCTTCCATATCTGTGGTCCTTGAAAATACACTGAAGATACTTCAAAAGTAAACCTCAATAACCGTGACATTTAAAGCTGGCATTTTCATTATACCTTGATCATATTGCAATTTTATAAATATCATATATGCTAAAGAATATTTTTGTAATATTTATTTCTGCACATGAGACTATTAAAGTGCATGCTGTGTGACAATCTCAAATCTACATATCTTCCTCATTGATTTTGGAATTCTTGAAAAAATGCTTAAAACTATGTCAAAACTTTTCTCAAACATGTGTCTATATTTCTATTGACTATTTGTGTACAGAAAAGGAAAGGTTTCCTGCTGGCCTTGTTTCACCCAATTGTTACACTTGCAACAAAGTCTGCCTCTGGGAAGCAACAGTCTCACAATTTGGGGATCTCAAATAATGACTCAGACAAATGCTGAGGAAGAACACTTCCCAAATGACTTAGGATCTTCTTCAAGTAATTAAAGAATGAACCACAAAACAGACCAAAGGAAAAAAGAAGGAACAGATTCACAGACATAAGAACAAAAATACATGAGTTAGAACTCAAAAACTGGTTCACTGAAAAAATAATAGAAAATAGATAAAACACTAAATAAACTAATTAAGGAGAATAAAAGGGACAAAATGCAAATACACAAACTAAGAATTAGTTAAGGGGGGAATGACCATAGGAAGAGAGAGAATGAAAGGAATCTCAAGACACTACTTTGTTCAATGTGACTAAACAAATTCTGAAAAATCATAAATAATATTCAAATAAAGCATAATTTGCTAAAATTGACTAAAAAAGAAGGAAAAAAATGTAAAGAGATTGATATTCAGGTTGATACTCCAGATACTTTTGTGACAGGGGCCTCAAATAATAAGAACTGAATCTAGCTGTACCAATTCATTCTGGCTGAATATCAACTTTCCCAATGGCCACAGAAAAACTGGACAAAGAGCCACCCTTAGAAGAGGCATAGGTACTGATGGTTTAAGAGGGAATGCTGCTAAAGCATGAAATAATAGAAAATTCCAAATTACTGAAATTATTTTAGAATGTAGAAAAAGAAATAATAATTTAGTATTTAACAGAGATAACACAAAAGTAGGAAAAATGTTGAAGGGAGATAGACAACTCAATAAATATTATTGGGACAATTGAGTAGCTATCTGGATCTACACCTCACACCACTCACCAAAAAAAAAATCAAATAGACCAGTGATTAAAATATTCAAAATGAATACTTAAAGTACTAGAAGACAATGTAACACAATTATAATCCTAAAATGAAAAGAGCTTTGCTAAATAGATCAAAATATCGATAAACCTCAGTGAAAAAATTGTTACATTACATAGAAAAATGACTGTATTGCAAAAAAATACTATAAGCAAAATTTAAAGACAAATAAATAGTGGTGGGAAAAAAATGAACATTTGCAGGTCTCACCATAGCCGAGGGACACATAGATTAATAGATAAATAGTTCCTGCAAAGCAAAGAGAAAAAGATAAAAATCCAACAGAAAAATGGGCAAAAGAAATAGGCGTTAATTGCCAAATAAAGGAGAAACAAAAGACTTTTAACATATGAAAGCTGTTCAAGTCACTCATGTTAAGAAAAATAAAAATGAAAGCTACATTTAGAAACCATACATTACTTTACAGATTGTCAAAACCCCAAAAGTTTGTTAACAGCCTCTGTGGGAAAGACAAAAGAGAAACAGGCATTCTCATATATTAAATGGTGGGGATATAGATTTGTACAACTCCTCTGAAAGGCGATTTGGAAATAGCTGCCAAAATTGCAAAGACGTATGCCCTTTGACACAGCAATCACACTTCCGAGAGTTTATCCCGCAGGTGTTACTCCACATGTATAAAATGACATAGGTGAAAGGTTACTTTTTGTCGTAGTCTATAGTAGCAGACAATCTAAAACGACCCAAATGCCAACCAACAGGAAACTGGTTTAATAAATTGTGGTACATCTATACCGAGGAAAGCATCATAACTGATTAAAGAAACAATAATGAGAAAATTCTCTATACTGGCATGGAAAGATCTCTAGGAAATGAAGTTAGATTAAAAAATGCAAGATGTCAAGTACTATATTTAGTATGTTAACTTTCATGTAAAAATAGAGAGAAAATAAAAATGTACTTATAATTTCATATATTTACATTTTATAGAACGTGAGGATACACAGGCAATTAATGACAGGGAGAGTTGGGGGAAACTAAGCAAATGCAGGTCAGTAATGGGAAGGAGGTTTTCATCTTATCAAAACATTCATGTATATTATATAATAATACCTATTTTAAAAATGAGAAAATAGTTTCTAGGAAGGGAGTACTTGCTCATGATAGAAAGCCTAGGAGGTAGTGGAGCCAAGATATTAATTGAAAAATAGAAATTGAGTTAAATAATGTGGCACATGATTATATATAATTTCTGTGGCTTTGAAATGTAAAGTATAACAGGACCATTCTGAATAGTGCTTCACTTTACCTTACAGTAGAATGTAGAACTCTCTTCTTCATGGGATCCTTTTTATTCAGACGTTTCACTTGATCCCGTTTTATCAAGGGTTTTTTTAAAGGAAGAACACAGGCATCAGGGGAGGGGAAGAACAGTTTGGAAAGCGTGTTGGCAACTCTCCATCCTATATATTTGGAGAAAATTTCATCCCCTACATTTGATGAAACTTTTGTATTGTAACTAGTGAAAGGATCAGTTGTGTCATTTAACTCAGCCTGTTGAAAGAAAAGAAAAAGGAACAAGTTAAAATAGAGTTAAGTGAGAGGAAAAATGATGACTTGTTAAGATAAAATCTATGTTCATTTTCTTCGACTAATGTTGCATTCTTCCTGTTAAATAAAAATAACCTTTATAAGAAAAAATGCAGTTTCCCAAAAGATTTAAAAAATCATACCAACAATTTTCAGTGAAATAAACAATTAAGCATGAATGAAATCAGTCTTGAAATTTCAAAAATTTAATGATATAATTTCTACTTGAAATTTGTACACTTCCTACACAAGAATTTCATAAGTATGATATTTATTTATTAAGAAATTAAGCAATCAGTTGAAGTAATGTACATATTTTATTAAATCAGAATTCCATTTCTTGGTGCATAATCTAAACTTTCCTTGAAAGCAAAAGAAAATGTCTACAGAACAAAATGTCTACAGTAAAAAACAAAAAGGGCTCTGTATTTAGCTCACATTGAAGATGTTCAAGGATTTATATTTTGATTAAGTTTAATATGGTATAATGTTTTAAAAAACCTAACACAAAAATTCCACAATATTCAACCAATCTTTAGTTAGGAAAGAGCTATTTTCTGAATTTTCTTACTTATGTTCAACAACGTCCATGACTGATTTTTTAATTACATCTTCTTTTGAAATGGCTAGAGAGGTATTTTCCTTGGCTGGCATAGGTAAAAATAAATGAAGATGTAAGTTTCAAATGTCATGTGTTATACCTCTTTTAATGTTCACAATATGTTCATATTAGGAGCTCTCTTTCTCATAAATAAATTGGATGCTGCCTCCTTTTGTTTTAAGTTTTTATGTTTTTTATTCATATTGTCCATCTTCATGCAGCTCATAACCAGTCACTCAAGATTCATTTTATATGCTGATGGATCCTGTGGTAGGAAATTAAGGAATGGAAAATATTTTTCTGCATACGAATCCCTAACTCAACCTCTTTAAGATTCCAAGATCAGGAACTACTGTTGAATTGACTATTGCATTATTTGGATGAAATTATAGTAGAAAAAAAAATAGAACAATCTCATGATAAAGACTGAAAAACATAAAGGGTTAAAGCAATGAGAAAAACAGCAAAAGGCAAGTAGCAAATATGGATTACTGTGAAAGTCAGAGAGGATGGGAAAGAATAACATGCAAAAAAATATATATGAAAAGGATAAGGTAAAAATCATGCAAGTAAGTAAGAACCAAAACAATGAAATGAAGACTCAGAATGCTAAAACATTAATATCACAATTTTTAAAAGCAGGCATATTTTTACAATTTCAGAAAAAGAACTTTATCACTAGCCCTCATTGAAATATATCCATTTTTAAAATATCTTTGATTTCAATTATGTCTGGATATGGGAATCAGTATACAATCATGTTTATAGTATTCCCAGTCATGTATCTTGCTTATTAATTACGTCAAAATCATGGAAAGAACATTCAACTTGAAACCAGAAATTAAACTGTGTCTAGGACACTTAGTAGCTATTGTGACTTTGAAGACGTTACTTAATGTCCGTCTGCAGGTTCATCTGTAAGATGGTAATCACAGTACCTGTAATGTTTATTCTGCTTACCTTCCCAGCTTAATTTCTCATAAGAAAAAGTACTTCAAAATCAATAATAATATACAGTATTGCACAGATGTATTACTATAAGCTCTTCCATTACTAAGAGAGTGGTGAATGAATAAATGTGTGATTAAATGAATGGACCAACAGGGACCGGCCCCCATGACCAAGTGGTTAAGGTTCTGCATTCTCCACTTCTGTGGCCTGGTTTCGTGGGTTCTGATCCCAATTGTGGACCTACTCCACTCATTAGCCATGCTGTGGAGGCGTCCCACATACAAAATAGGAGGAAGACTGTCACAGATGTTAGCTCAGGGAGAATCTTCCTCACTGAAAAAAATTAAAAAAAGAATGGACCAACAAAAAATAATGTCTTTTCATGACATAATTTCTGGTAAAATATATTCTTTCCAGAGGTAGGATTACCCTGCATTACAGAATTATGATGCTCTTTTCATCATGTCTCTTTAGACTACTCCTTGCTTTCTTCCTTCCCAGACTAGACAGTTTGTAGATCCAGATGCAAGCTCTCCCAAGGAACAAAATGAAGGCATTCCCACATCTTTCATGATGGTTCCCTGATTGAAAGCCCAGGTAAATTTCCCTCCCCCATTGATGCCCATGGCATTCAACTTATGGAAATATAGTTTCAAATATCGGTCAAATGTATATTTGCCTTATGTATAAAAGATTTTGTTTGTTTTCTGCAGGAAGTACCAGGAAATAATATGTGCTTTACAGTTTGAAAGATCTGAAATCAGGTCTGCTTTTCCACTTCCTACTTAAGAATGCAACCTTGGGATATTTAGTTAGCCTCTCCAGGCCTATGTTTTGTGTTTGGTTTAGTTCTGTCTTATTTTTCATTTGTGATATGGAGATAAAAATAACTGCCTCTCAGAGTTTTGTGAGGGTTCACTTAGCAGACAGTGAGAAGTTCAATAGGTATCAGTTCCCTTCAGG